GAAAGGAGGTAAAGTTCTGGACTGCTGGGCACCTAGAGTCTGAGATGCCTGTTTCTCTTCTCTGACGCGAGTCATGCAGTGTCTTGGGTTCAGCACTTTGCAAAGAGCAAAGCAGATGTCCAGGGTGGAAGAATGCATGCAAGACCAAAGCCAGTGACACTGTATCCACCAAACGCCTGTGATGGAATCCATAGCTCCTCTGCTCACAAGTTTCCTCACTGAAGTCATTTCAGGGCAAGCCAACAAGAAACACTGAAATATGCAGGAAGGGCCCTGAAAGGCCAAGAGACTGAGTTTTCTAAGCAAACAGCAACTGTGGAAGGACTGTTTTCCTACAACACAGAGGGCTCAAGGGATAAGGGCCACACATGTGGGCAGGAAAGCGTCGCACTTCACTGATGAATAATGGTTAGATGTTCTGGTCACTCATTCTATTTTGTGTGTGACAGGGAGGGCACTCCCCACACTAATAAGCAATTCTTCGCTACTGCCGGGGTTTCCAAAAATTTAACTCAACTCTGACTCTGGTAATTCTTTACTCAGAGATAACACCAGATCCCACAGATGAGGGTTTAGTCCCGCAAGACTGCCTCCCCTGGACCCCTACTTCAGGGGCGAGTCACAAACCCAGGTGGCTCACCAGGCTTCTGACCTTCCTGCCACACACAGGAGGTGCCAATGACCTCCTCCTTCAGTTCAATTAATTTACTAGAGCGGAACTCAGAGAAACATTTTACTTACTAGATCGCTGGCTTTTTCAGAAAAGGATGTAACACAGGAGCACCAGATGTAAGAGACACACAGGTCAAGGTATGGGAGAGGGCAGGAAGCTTCCATTCCTCTCCAGGCGGCTGCTCGTGGTCAATCTCCACAAGTTCACCAACCTAGCAGCACTCTGACCCCTGTTCTTTTGTGTCTTTACAGAGGCATCTTTACACAGGTGCTGTCAATTAAATCGTTGAGCACAGGTGATAGAACTCAATCTCCTCCCCTTTCCTCCAGAAGTCAGGTAGGGGCTGGAGGGGAAGTGCCAATCCTCTAATCACTGCCACAGCCCAGACTCACAGCTTTCCAAATGTAACCTCATTAACATAACAAAAGAACCTTTCTTGCTCTCTTCACTTAGGAAGTTCAAGGGTTCTGGAAGCTCTGTGCTGGAAACAGAGATGAAGACTAAATATATATTTATATACTTCTTATTATGAATCACAATAGAACATGGTAAAGAAAACAAAGCAGCAAAGTAAAAGGCCTTCCCTAGCTTCCACATCATCAGCTAAGTGTGCCATTAATCACAAAATTGTGCAGGTAAAGGCCTTGCTTGTTGGAAAGAAGCATCAGGCAGGTAGAGGCAATTTCCTGGCAGGCAGCAGCTGAAACCTCTGTCTGAAGAGGGAGGAGGGTAAGCATGGCAATCTGATGCCAAAGCGTGCTTCCTTTGCACCTGCACACACTTATTTTAGCAAAGCTGTACTTGGTAAACTACTAAGCCCAGAATTCCCCGTGCCTAATGGAAGGCATTAGGTTTTAAAGAGCACAGCAGCTCTTCCAGGCACAGAAACAAAAAGAGTTTGAAGATTTTGCATTCTGTATTCCTAGTCACTATCACCTAGAGATGCTACTGCTTTTTTCCCACTGGCTTACAGCTGATGAAGTTTGGAGATTTAGAAAAGCAACCAGTACCTGCTCAGTCTCATTTTAGTTTCTGCAAGTTTGCATTGGCCCTTGACCTTTAATTCCTCTGATCTGTTGAAGTGTTCTAACAAAGATCACAAAGGTCACTTGGCATTTGGACAGATGGCAATATTCACATTAAAAACTAGCTTCATTTGGTCCACATATGCCACAGATAAGACTTTTGCACCCATTAAATGTTGTTCTTGAAGCAAAATTGAATTAAAGAAACTTCCAGACTTTTGGCTGTGCTTTGCCTTTGAGGACTGTAATGGGAATGAGTTCTATAAGACACCTGATATCTCCCTTCTCTGGTCACTCTTGCTGATAACAGTCCCAACCCTAGCTTCCTAAATGCTCCTAAAGCACTGAACCTTTCTGTTGGATGTGATTATCAGGCTTTTCTGCCCTCCCGCCATTAGCATTAATGATGGATCCCTGCAGTCCTGAATGCATGCCTGATGGCAGGCACCTGGAGTAGGGTGTGGGCATACGTAGGTGAGTATACCTGGGCTTATAAGGGTGGTGTCACGGGGAACCAGTAGGGAGAAAGTAGCAGAGAACGGAGAATGAAAGAGGGAATGAGCAGAAGAGAAAGAACAAGACCATGAGAGAATGCCAGAGAGCCCAGAAAGAGCAAAGATGTGCTGGAGCCTGGGAGGTCTGCCAGCCTCCTGGCCCCCTGCCTGCCATGTACCTGGTTGCCACGCTACATGTAAAAAGCTCAATAAAAGCCTGACAGTCACCGAGGGCTCCAGGACTCTCCTCTACCTGGCTGCTCAGATCAAAGAGATCCTGCTCCGTCCCTTCCTGCTGCTATAATTGGCGTAAGTCGGCAGGATGATTTGATGCAGACGGGTATGGGGCCCGCTGAAGACCTCGAGAGGGACTGAGTAGCAGCAGACCATGAGCCTGTGTAACAATGCTGGAGGCGCCATGGCAGCCCAGGTGGTGACCAAAGTCCAGGAGCCATGGAAGAGCTAAAGATGCTGCAGGAGCACAGGAGGTGGTCAAGGTCCAGGAACTGCGGGATGAGACCTCAAGTGGAGGAGGAGACAGCCCTAGAGGACCAGCCCACGACCCCTGAGGCAGCAGAATTATAGAAGAAAGAGGACCCAGTGCTTACACAGGAAAAGCTGATGGACTTGGACTGACAATCCCACCAGAAGGCAGAGGAACTTTGACAGGTTGATGTTATGTTTTGGGGGCTCTGGGGGTGCATGGTATCGTTAGTACACCCAGGAGATGAAAATCAAGGCCTGGCAGGTGGGCCTCGGTGGCCAAAAGCAGCCTGTGTACTGCCTGGCAATCCTAGGGCCCCAGCCCAGAGCGGCAACGGCCAGAGTGGAAGAAGGGGCAGGCAAGAGAAGAGCCCAAGAGTCTGAGGGAGGAAGCCCTCGCCGAGTTCTCGGCAGCCCGCAGAGGAGATGTATCAAAAAGCCAGCTTCAATAAGTTAAAAGCTGGTGCTGAGATTGGGAAGCCCTGAGGGCTGTTAAGCAGCCTAAGTATGCTAAAGAAGGCCAGTGAGTCTCTTAAAATCACCTGTGGGTGATGCTCTGTTTGTTGTTGAGGGTGAGGAGCCCAGGAACCTGTTCTTGGGGGAGGGGCAGGGAACATGGCTTGTGGTGGAGCCCCAAACTGAAGAGGAGACCCAAGAGAGGCCGCATGGAGAGCTTGCAGAGGCCGCACACGGATCCCCGACCCATGCGCTTGTGCAAAGTGTTGCCCTGACTGCAGGGGTCTGCGTGTTGCATTGGTGGCTATGAAAGCCGAGTGCTGGACTGACTGCAGACAGAAACCCTGAGGGTTGGGCGACTACCCCCAAAGAGTACAGAATCACCAATCCAAGAGTGAGTGCATGCTGGGGGTGGATGCGGTGTGTGGTTTGTGGCAGAGATCACAGCTGGAGAAGGCCAAGAAGCCTGCTGGCTCCTGGCGTGTGATGTCAGATGCCTGAGTGGTTCCCCCCTTGATGAGCAGTGCCTTCGGCAGCAGCCATGGTGGATCATCTGGTGCCGATAATTTTGTCTTTTTCCCCTGGGTTGGTGCCCTGCCTGGACTTATTTGTGTTCTGTTGTATTGTTTCATTGTTATTCAGTTGTACAGTTTACTTTTGTGGGTCATTGCTGCAATGTTTAGTTTGCCAAGGGAAACTTTTATAAAACTTGTATATAGATTGCATGGCAGAAAACCCTGGGGGGTGGATTATAGGGTAAGTGATTATCAGGCTTCTCTGCCCTCCCGCCATTAGCATTAATGAAGGATCCCTGAGGTCCTGAATGCACAGCTGATGGTGGGCACCTGGAGTGCACTGTGGGTATATGTAGGTGGGTACACCTGGGATGAGACTGGTCTTATAAGGGTGGTGTCACAGGGAACCAGTAGGGAGAAAGTAGCAGAGAATAGAGCAGTGAAAGGAGAATGACAGAGAATGAGCAGAAGAGAAAGGACGAGACCATGAGAGAATGTCAGAGAGCCCAGAAAAAGTGAAGATTTGCAGGGGGCTGGGAGGTCTGCCAGCCTCCTGGGCCCCTGGCACTCCTGCCTGCCATGTGCCTGGTTGACGTACTACATGTAAAAGCTCAATAAAAGCCTGAAAAAGCCACTGAGGGCTCCAGGACTCTCCTTTATCCATCTGTGTGGATCATAGAGATTCTCCACTATGTCATCCTGCCACTACACTTTCCCCTATACCTTTACTATGCAGCTTTTAAAAACAATTTATGCACACAAGAACTGGGGTGTAGGCCAGAAGTGCTGGGGTGGGGTGTGTGAAAGAATTCACCAGAGACAGTGGGAAACAGGCAGGTTGATTGAAATACACCGCTGAGGAGAGCAGTAGGCAACACAGAAGTCTGCTGAGCCATGTGGGCTAGCTTCCCTGCTGGCCAGGGATGGAACTTGTGCTGCAGTAGCTGGCAGTAGCTTGATAGCACTGACTTTAACCCCTGCACCACCAGGGAGGCCTCTACCTATGTAGCTCTTACATCTGGCTATTTGAGTCATATATATACTGAGTCATATTTATATAAATATATACAAATTTATATATATATATAAATAATAAAGTGGTGCCTGATTTCTGTGAGCCACTGTAACAAATTAATTGAATCCAAAGAGGGGGGTCATGGGAGCCTTTGGTTTATAGTTCATTAGTCAGAAGCACAGGTGACAATATGAACTTGAAATTTAGTTAAATCATATGGTACCCAGCTGGTGTTACACATACACACACACACAATGGAATTAGTCAGAATCAGACTTCCCTGAAGACTATTTGAATAGTGGGGTGCCCCTAAATTGGTGGACAGAGTCATTACTGTACCTGTTGGCCAAGAGCTGGGACCTGGTTCCTGAGGGTGAGGTCAGGTAGATGGCCAGGTCACCCCTCCTGGGGTGTGTGATGGTTATGCGCACAACCACATGTTCCAGGTAGTTGACATGGCGGTTGGGGTTACTGGAGCAGCCTGAAGCTTTATAGATGGAGCGCACTGCACTGTTTGGCCGAATTGTCCTGCAAGAGAGAGAAAGAGGGAGTTTAAGCAAAGCACTTGGTAGGGCTTGGCTGTGTCAACTGCAGGCTCGCAGGTAATTATACACTGTGTTACAAGGAGCTGGTTGCTGGATACTAAATGATACAACCCTATCATCCAAATGATTGGGTCACTCAAAGGATAAATACTGGTTTGATAGCGAGAAAGATGCAAATGAGAGGAGGCGGGGAATTAAGGTTCATTTATCTTCAGGCAGGTAGTAGATATCAAACTTGAATATGCTTTGGTATTACCTTGTTAAAACAGATTGCTGAAAGTAAGGTTGGATGGATTCTACAAATCTGAATTTTTAACAAATTGCCAGGTGCAAATGATGTTGTTCATCTATGGAATACACTTGGCAAACCCCTGATACAGGTCCTGTGGTACAATGGAGACTTGGGGATAAGCTTCCACTTGGTTAAAATCCCAGGTCTACCATCTCCCACTCTATTCATTCTAGCTTCCTTCTGGGCTCCAGCCATTGGCACCAAATTCAATTTAATTTTCCTCCCACCTCAGGAACTTTTCCTCCCACCTCAGGAACTTTGCATGCTCTACTCTGAGCTTTTTTTTTGGCTATCATGTAACTAACCCTTCTTCTTGATGGTCAAAGCTGGAATTTTACTCACTGACAAAGTCATTGGAACCATAAAAATATGCCTCCCCCGACCTCTTAGCTGAATTTTGGGTCTTCCATTCTCACTTTCTGGGACCTGCCAACCCCCTTTTTTGTGGTTCCTCACCAGAAGGTTATTTAGACTTCTGGCAAATATTCCAGCCATTTTGGGGTAAGCCTCTTTGGCTGAGCATTTGCCCATAAGGGGATGGGAAATTTTCAAGATTTTCAAGGAATACCTTCTCTTCTCTCTCTCTCTCTCCCTGCACATGAAGTAGACACTAAGAGTCTGCTTTCTTTGCCATTGTGCATGCAGATGGCCAGACCCTCCCTTGAGATGTGAACACTTCAACAGTTTGGGATCCCTGGGTACTCTTCAGTTGCCGGCTTACACAATGATTTCTGCTTCCTAACAAATTTCCTCAAGAATTATAAGGGTTCTACATTTATTACAAATCAAAGTTCATGTTAATATTTTTCTGAGAGCTAACTCTCTAAGAAGAAAGCAAAAAGCAAAATACTAATAAGATCACTAATAGGGATATTGTTCTTCTGATTTAGCATGCAGGAGAGAATGCACACTATTGCTTGTAAATCCTATTGGCACAGCTTCTGAGATTGTGCAGCTGAAATAGGGCAAGAGGCCCTGAAGTCTGCGCAGACTATAATCTCATTTACTCTGAAAAAATTTTGCACTACTCCTTGGAGAACTACATAGTATGTAGTTATATATCCAGCCCATAAGGTTAACTTTTTTGGAGAATACCTGTACCACCAAATAGAAATATTGACAGAGTAGAAAACTTAACAATGCCCATCTGTAAGGTTTGACCTCAATCCCCCTTTAAGAAATGTTTTTAAGGATTCTGGGTTGTACAAGTGTGGATTGAATAGTTTAGACTCTGACATTCTAATTTTATAATTGCATTAGGAAAAATCTACATAAGCTTTTAGCTTCACGTGCAACAAAGAGCTGTTTTGAACACTCGAGAGAGCACTGGCCTACTCTCTTTCAGGGCATGTCATGCTCTCTGCTTGCAGCAAACATTACTTGATTTGTCGGTCGGTGCTCTCCACACACACGTGCTGCTGGGGAACAGTGGTCCACTTCTCTGCCTCCATCACCATGGCCTCTGCATCCATCAGTCCAAATCCATACAGATGGCTCACTATGGAAAACAAAAGGCTGATCAGCTTCACTGCAGTTAGGAGCAGCCTATGCTACATATGTTGAATTATAATTTCACTCCATAGAGAACCCAAACACTTCACTTGGGATCCTAACTTTGTTTCTAGCAACGATTTAAAAAATAAGACAAGAAGCAATCAATCAAAACAAGGAATATCTATTATTCCTTGATTATGTAACATGTCTATCTTTCATAAACTACTCATGCATGGCAGGTATTCGTCCACATTTTTACATTTAATCCTCCCAACAACCTTAAGAAGTTAGTGCTATAACAATAATGCTATCATCATTTGTGGACGAGAATACTGAGGAACAGAAAGAATCTTGGCTAAGATTGAATAACAGTTCAGTTGTTGAACTGGGTTCCAACACACATAGTTTTACTCCAAGGCCTTAATGTTAACCAAATGTATTCAACTGATAGCATCTTTAATTTTGCAAGATAATAAGCTTAAGGAGAAGTGAAAATGTATACAACTTCTAGTGCAGTAAGAACTTACATGCAAGAAATATCAATTTTCTGACATATCTAGTATTTTGGTTGAATATCCCAGAAGACATAAATTATTACCTTTCTTCTAGAATATGAAAAATTAAGCCTTATGCATGGAATATTTGGAGGCCTCTAGACTTTTGTGCCAGATCCCTATACTCAAATGTTAAAATATTTTAGTTCTCATGAGAATACCTATTGATTTAAAGCTGAATTTCACTTAACTATATCAGAAACTTCAATTACTTATAGAAACATTTTAGCAATGATACAGGATATACCTGTTCAGTTCCTTCTAAAAATATTTAAAATCAGTTGAATACTTAAATCTCTATTTTGTATTAAAATATCTCCTAATTTATATTTAACACAAAGTCATAATTCTACCAGATTTGTTGCTTAAAGCATTTTAATATTATAGTATTAATTTATGCAAAAATTTCTATAGCTGCCCATGCTTATGGCTTAAATATTTCAACTGGAATTTCAAGAATTTCTATGATACAGTCCCATTCTACTTTCATAACAATGTCCTCAATTAATCTTTTGCTCAAGTGAAGTCATTCTTTCAAAGTTCCTAGACATATATTGCTTTCTGACTCACTGCCTTTGCACATGCTGAGCCCTTGGTCTGAAATTCCCTCACTCTTCTGCTCTGGTAAGAGAGTTAAACTGTACTCTTCTGAGTTCCCAAAGGCCTACCTAGTCTACCTTTATCTTTAATAATATTCTGAAATTCAACCATTTGTAAACAATAAACCTTTTTTCCTCCCTAAGTGTATTGATATATCACTCCATCTCCCTTCTGTCCATCCATCCATCCAACATTTCTTGAGTGCCTTCTATGTGCCAGGCTCTGTATTAGGCACTGCACTGTGCCTTCAATTGGATTGCTAATTACCTCACTCTCAACATGTGTCATTTTGCCCCAACTGCATTATAAACTGCATGATGACAGTAACTGGGTCTTATATTTCTAAGTTCCAAGGGCATTAGCAGAAATTTATATATTTAGGAGGGAAATACACAGCATATAAAAAAAGAAAAGTTGTGCTAGGATTCAGAAATACTGCTTTATTTCTGCTATTTGCTAATCACATAATTCTTGGCAGGTAACATAAAATATCTAACCCACAATTTTCTTGTTGTGGGATAATATCTATCCCCTACCATTACTAAATTGGTTAAGTATTACTAAATGTCTCATGTGAGCAAATCTGTGTAAAGAACTACATAAATGAAAGGGTACATTATTATGCCATCCAACATTCAGCCTGAAAAGACATACTTTATGAAACTGAATAAAGCTACATTTCTATGGCAAGAATATATGTTGAACTTTCATGCATTTGCTTTTTTTAAAGATTTATTATTTATTCATTTATGCATACAAGAGCTGGGGTGTGGGCCAGAGGTGCAGGAGGGTGAAAGGACTCACCAGAGACAGAGCGGGGAGCAGAACAGGTGGACTGACTGAAATGCACTGCTACGGGGAGCAGCAGGGGAGACAGGAAAGGTCTGCTGTGCCATGTGGGGTAGTTCCCTGGCAAGGAATGGAACTTGTGTTGCAGTGGCTGCTGAGAGGCCCTATGCATTCATTTACTTTTGCAACTTTTATTATGATTTTTTTCTTGATTGAAAAATAATGTATGTTCATTGTAAACATTTTCAACATATACAAAAAAAAAAAAATAGAGGTCCTCAGTAACCTTACCAACAAATTAGCAACTGCTATTAACAAGTCTGTATACTTAGTTCTAGTTACATAGTAGGTAAGACAATTTCTCCTCCTTACTTAAAAACCAAAGTGATCCACATGTTACAGAAGAAATATTAAGTTTGGGGTCAAGAAACTCAATTTGTGCAGATCTTTTATTTACATTCATGTGAATCCTATTTTCTCATTTATCATTTAGTCATAGCCTTATCATTTCATTATGAACATTTCTTTGAAAGAATTGAAATTATTACCAAGATACTATGTCAGGCACTCTAGCTCAACACAGTACCACCATACTAGTATCAAGGGATTTTAAACCAGCACTACTTACCATGGTATCTCAGTGTAGGGAAATAGGGTGAAAGATTTTACCGGTATGTGTAGGAGTGGGGGGAGAGAGGGAGAAGAGAATAGGAGGTTGCTGGGGGTGGGGATGCGGGGGGCAAGAACTTTGAATAGATGCAGATCTGGGTCTGCTTGGGCTCCAGCTCAGCTGCATTTGCTCCAGGTCCTTTCCCCCACCCCCAATAACTGTCAACTTAACAACCAGTCGGGCATAAATTCACACACAGAGTCATCAAATACAACCAATAATTCATGCCTGTTAAACAACCACTTGAGTTAAGTAGAAAAGCACCTTGAGTCTTCATGAAGGTCATAAATTTGTTTCCTTTTCAATTTAATTCCTACTCTCCTGAGACAATGTTCATTCATGCAACACTCAAAGTAGATGTTCAGAAAAGAGGCGATGTGTCCAGTTAAATGAAATCAGTAGCTCAACAATAACAAAATGTATATTAATTGAATATTAACAAGTGAGGGAATTAGATTTGATCAATGAAATCCACTGAGTCAGCAATGGAGATTTTTTCATGTTTAAAAAAACTGGGAAATACATAATTGTGATCAACGTAAAGAACACATAAATTTCTTTCTTTTGAGGGAGAGGTGATCCTGTCAATATATCAACTTTATGTATTTTGATTGGCAATTATTTTAGTTTTTGGTAAGTATGGATGAGAAAATAATTACAAAATGAATGAACTGGGCAGATAAATTCCTTCAAAACATAATGTCAGTGGGGAAAAATAGTTATTAGTTTTGAAGCAATAATTTTTTTGAGATATAACTGACACATAACTTTTTATATAATATAAAGCTTTTATGACCTAGGATGACCTATAAACTCAGAAATGCTGATTATTTTCCTGTGATCATTTGAGTCTAGTCTGCCTTTCCAGGCATGCTATTCCATGATGTACCATAGCGGGTGAGACTGCTCTCTAGTAGCTGTACAGAACCTAGCTGAGAGAAGAGTTTCTATAAATTTTTGTGAAATAAATGAACGTAACTGACAGAATTCTTATTTCATTCACCGAGTGGCATAAAGTGTATATAAGAGAACTGCAAAGGAATTAGGAGGTCTGTTCTTTTTATTACTGACTGTTATGAAGTCACTTACTAACCCTCACTATTTATTCAAATATAGATCCAATGTGCACATTAAAAAAAAAATCTACAAATATAGCTCATATACCATGCAAACAACTAATTGTGATATGGTTATTCCCGAACTAAAGTTGTTTTTTTTTATACACAGTTCTCACTTCAAACTGAGCTTTAAAATAATTTTATAATCAAACAATACCCCCTCTGTATAGCACTGTGTAAAGTGCAAAATTCTATGGAGCTAGAATACTATACCACTGATAGGAATGAGAATCTACCTAGTTCAAGCAGAAAATTTAATTTCTGAGTGTGGGCAGCAACATTCAATCCATAGTTTTAACATTAGTTATGATGAAAAAAAATCAGTAGAAAAATAATGTAGGAACAAGACAGGTATATAATGTAATTAAAGATCTTGACGCAAACTTGAAGTTACTTCAGAAAGTAAATTTATTTCTTGCTTAGAATGATGTTGGACAATCTCAGTAAAGGAAATTTGAGAAATGTGCATGCTATTGTATTTGTTTCATTAGGTTTCCTGACTGTTTATGCAGATAAGCTCAGAAATGGTCTTGGTTCCGAAGCAGAGCTAATTTCTATTCCAGGTAATCCAAAAGCTTCACTGCTTAGACCAGCCAGATGGACAAGAGAAAAGAAACACTGATAATGTTCTCCAGCAGGTATATTTTCATTTTCTAAGACCAGAAGTGCTGAGAGAAGCTAATCTTTAAGCACACAAGTAAATGACTGCATAGATTGAAAGCAGATACAGTTAATTTAAACAACAATTCTAACTGGCAGACCTAAAAATTCAATTCTAAAGAAATGCTAGAAAGCTCAGCAGGGAAAAAAAGGAAGTTTGTGAGCATATGAAGAAGCTATAAGCAGAGGAATTTGGAATAAGTGAAGTATTCTTGCTAGAGCCAGCTATTTTAAATCTTTTTTCTTTTTAATATTACTTGAATGAATACTCATGATGATTCTAAAATGGCCATTAGTAAAGCTCTCCATACAGAATGAAGGACTTGGTTTGTTAATAAAGGGTTCTTATTTGTAAATTTTTGAATTTCCTAAATGAGGCCTTTCTGCACTCAGCTGTCTCGGGCTATCTAGGACAACCTACCACCAACAAAGCTCTGTGAAGGAGTCTATGAGCAATTTTAAGTTTTGCCTCTAAAAAAATGCAATTAAGTGACATCTATACATTACTGAGTATTTCATATAAACACAGAGCCAATTTCTTCCATTGGGGAAATCATTTCTTATGACCAGTATGGCTAAATGTCTGGGCTTTGCCCAGTTGTCCAGATTTTAG